CTGTTCTTGCAAAGCATGGGCATAATAAATACAAAGCCCAGCACTGCCTATACTCTCCATGGCATGGCATTAATTTACTAATTAAGATAGCGCTGTCTCTGTTAGCGAGCGGGATGACCTCCTCTGACTATTATTTTGGCTGCTGTCTAAAACTTCAGCTGGTATTTATATGTGCGTAGAGCTCCATCTGCTGGTATCAAGTAGTAACCAATATATACAGACACACACATTAGATTGTCTTCCTTCCCGCACTCTATGGGGTCTATTTATTTAAATACTTATTTCCTATGCTGTTCAGCACCATCTAGTGGCAATAATGCATTCTTACAACACTGCATTCAAACTGGGAAAAGCTCCACCTAGTGGCCATAAAATACCTACTACATTCACACTGGGAAACAAAACATATTAAGAATATTTTTTTTTGTCAATATTTGCCAAAAACAAATGTTCACAGTTGTGAAGGGCCCTGCAAATTGTTTTTAAATAAACCCCTATGTATAGATAAAGTTCCTCCGCACCATGCTCCATCCTGCAGATATATTAATCTAGGTCATCCCTTTTACAGCTACCAACCAATACTTTGAGTCACTGCTAGCTGTTAAACAAAGCCGTCACTGCAGCTTTGGTCCTCATTCAGGATTGGGAACCAACTCTGAATGGGGACCAAACCATGTGATCACTATGTTAGCAATAGCATAATAACACCATGGCAAGCTGAAGTCTTCATTCAACAAAAAAAAAAATTCAGCTTGCAGGGGCCACTGCATCCTGTAGATGGCAGTGTGCTTTGTTTAATACTGTAATTATCTGATACAATGATAAGATTAAAATTCATTTAAAAAAACAAATGCAAAAAAAGGGTTTTTTTTTTTTTTGAAGTATACTTTTTTTCATTTTGTCAGCATATAATAAAAAAAGAGATCAAGGTTTTTGATTTAAAAAAAACAAAACAAATAAAATCCTTATTTGCCCATAAAGAGTGTGCACATAATTTAGGTATGCCAATTACTCATGGAGTTATTATCAACTTAACTGACGCTTGCTGATGCTGCAAAATTTTGATCTGAGCATTTCGCATCAATAGCCTCCGAACGTGAAAGGGTTTAAATGTCTTCCATCTTTTCCTCGTCACCATTCCTGTTGTAGTCCCAATATTCTTGCTACACTGTAGGTACATTGGGATGAAAATGTCTTTTGCTTTTTCTGACAGATTTCGCCATAGGAGGATAAAACATAAAAACCTAAAAGATCAGGTGAATGCCATGGTGGATATCTCTAAGGTAAGATTATGAAGTGGGAACTGATACAAAATGTATTGTCTTGTGATGAATCTGACACGCTTCCATTAACTACATATATAATGGTGTCATAGAAACTAGGGTTGCACCGAAACCGGTATTTTGGTATCGAGTACGAGTACCAATATTTTTTTTCCAGTACTCGCCTATACCGAATACCGATACCGGAAGTCCCATTCAGGAAGCCAGGCGGCGTGTAATGACTCACCACCCGGCTTCCTGATTAGCAGGGAAGCCGTCCCCATGCTTCTCATCACAAGGTGACAAGAAAGCATGGAGACGGCTTTCTGGCCAATCAGGAAGCCAGGCGCCGTGTAATGACGCGGCGCCAGGCTTTCTGATTGGCCGGGAAGTCGGCTCCATGCTGTAATACACCCCCCAGGGGTTAACAAGGTCCTTGGACCGCAGCTGTGGATTTGGCTTTAGAACGGGTATCAGATCGCAGCTCTACCTCCGATGCCCAGGATATTGATAAGGCTTGGAGAGAGCTGCTTCACATCACACCCCGTTTAGCACATCTAAGCCTGCACTTCACCGGTAAGGTAGGTATTCAGGGTGAAGCAGGTGGGTAGTTTCTGGGTCAGTTTAGCAACTAGCTTGAGTCCATAGATATATGATGTTCACTTGTAACAAGGCAGACAGAATAGATAGGCGTATAGCTATGATGCAGTGTAACTGATTACCAAGCAGACAGTTGATTAGGCATATGGCTATGCGGAAGGTTAAGTTGCAGTAAAGCAGATACTTGAATATGAGTATAGGAAGTGCTATGGAGATCTCCCTACCATAGCTTTATGGCTATGGTAGCAATACTTGCTGTTTGTGGCTCTGGAAAGAATGGAGAGGATATCCGCAGCAACTCTCCTTCAGTGATGGGTTCCTGGAGTAGCAGGGCTGCTGGTTTGATCAGCGTCCTGCTTCAACAATAGTGGGACGCCGATCAAACGGTGGACCGCGGCTTTATGCCGACTACTCGAGTGAGTGGGCGGAGTCTCGCTGCGCGCCTGCGCATTGCCACCGACGGACCCCGTACGTGAGTGGGAGGAGTCTCGCGGCGCGCCTGCGCAGTGGCGCGTACGGCTCGTTGTCCCGGCCGAGGGGTGATACGAGTATCACACATGCTCCCTCGTCATGAGGTGAATAATGAGCATGAAGCCAGCTTCCCGGCCAATCAGATAGCCGGGCGCCGCGTAATTACACGGCGCCCGGCTTCCTGATTGGCCGGCTCCATGTTTACTTTTAGGGATGCACCGATACTAGTATCGGTATTGGTGCCGATGCCGAGTATTTGGGCGAGTACTTGTACTCGCCCAAATGCTCCGATGCCTAGCCCGATACCCAAGCTTCCGGTATCAGGCTGTTTCCCGAAAGTATCGGGCTAGGCATTAGAGCATTTGGGCTGGTATTAGTACTCGCCCAAATACTCGATACCGATATTACGGTAGTATCGGTATTGGTTCACCCTTAATAGAAACAGTTAATAAATACCAAAAAAAATTAAATTGTTGGCATCCAAAAGCTTGAATCTGATTTGTTGTCATGGAGCAACACAGACAGGTCAGGAGTGAGTTGAGGGACAGAAGGGCATTTGCTCCATGTTGGGGTGGTGGCCCTGAATGGAGATATTTCACCAATCAAACATCAATCAGAATGGGACCCACGGTTAGTGACACATTAAGAAGGAAGTTCTGCTGAAAGCTGTGTACCATTAAACTACTCCACGTCCTTTGGGAGCAGCCACCTTGACCACCAGCCATGGTAGCACCATGAAACACTTTGCGTGGTTCACTTACTTACACACAGTGATCTGCCCCTACCAAGAATTACATCTTAGAATGTTCGGTCAATATATCGTTCACTTGTTTTTCAGATGCAAATGATCATGACTGACCTGGATTACAACTTCACCTCTTCCCACCAAGACTTGGAGAAGAGGATCGACCAACTGGACAAGAAGCTGGACGACCTGAGCCGTCTTATCATGACAGCCCTGGAATCCCCTCAGATATCTCACTGACACAAGATGTCCCCCTTCCTGGACTTTGTTTACCACTGGAGAATTGTCTTCCACTGTACTGCCCCCCTTCGTTGTCGGAAGGGTGGTGGGACACAACAATGACAATCTGGCTGCTTTTAGAACATCAATAGACTGATGAACTTAGATGAACTTACTAGACGACCACTTCCAAACTGCCTTACTCTTTGGAATAAAGAGCACTTGTGGACTAATGATTCTCATGGGACGCTTAAAGGATAAACTGACACATCCATCGTGAGGTGGAATAAATGTATTTAAAAATGGGAGATTTATGATGTAGATATGAGATGAACATAAAATGATATGCAGTACAGCAAGCACTTTCTGTGTCCTGACCTTGTGCCTTAGAGATGACTGAGCACGCTATGTTCCTTCTGGTGGACCCTTGAGTCCATGTCTTCTGTATGTATATAATCACAGACATCTTGAGTGATTAAATTGGGCTACTTTTAGGTTTGGCAGGTCCTCTGCTACAGACCAGCAGCAGGCCATATACTATACATGTAAGTTTAGTTTTATTCCGAATTGAAATTCAGACAAATTTCTTTACATTTTGGACATTTGGATGCATTCAAATTGCTAAATTCGAATGTATCTGAATTTCGGATACATTTGAATTTCCAAATTCAAATGCATCTGGAATTTCAGATGAATACAAATTTCGGAATTCAACTGCATCCCATTTCACATGGATCCAAATTTTTTTCTGAATTTTGTTCAAATTTTTAAATATCCAATTCTTATGACCAGTAAGGACTATGATGACCAGTACGGACTAAAATGACCAGTATGGACTAAGATGACTAGTACAAAATAAGAGGACCAATAGATACTAAAATGACCCGTACAGACTAAGATAGCCAATATGGAGTAAGAGGAGCAGTATAGACTAAGATAACTAGTATGGACTAAGATGACCAGTAGAGACTAAAATGACCAGTATGGACTAAGATAACCAATACGGAGTTAGAGGACCAGTAAGGACTACGATGACCAGTAGATACTAAAATGACCAGTATGAACTAAGAGGACCAGCAGAGAGTAAAATGACCAGTAGAGACTAGGATGACCAGTAGAGACTAAAATGACCAGTACAGACTAAGATGACCAGTAGAGACTAAAATGACCAGTACAGACCAGATAACCAATACGGAGTTAGAGGACCAGTAAGGACTACGATGACCAGTAGATACTAAAATGACCAGTATGAAGTAAGAGGACCAGCAGAGAGTAAAATGACCAGTAGAGACTAAAATGACCAGTACAGACCAAGATAACCAGTACAGACCAAGATAACCAATACAGAGTTAGAGGAGCAGTATGGACTAAGATGACCAGTAGAGACTAAAATGACCAGTACAGACCAACATGACCAGTAGATAACTAAAATGACCAAAACCCCCCCCCCCCCAAAAAAGAAAAAAAATAATGTTTTTTTTTAAATAAAGAACCTCATCCGAATTGATCCAAACCGAAAACAAAACATTTGGATCGATCGGAACGGAAAAAACAAAAAATGACTAACGATCTGAACCGAAAAGGACATTTTTTTATTTATCCAATTGAATTTTTTTATTGATTTAATTTTTTTGGGGGGGTCGCACTGGTCTAGAAACTTTGTGAGATATTAATTTCTTGTTGGGTGGATTCACACTCTCTATGTGTCCTGGTAACTATTTTCTCTGGAATAGACGACCAACATACATTGTCTCTCGAAGTGAAAGTGAGGAAAAAAACTACACGTTGAATTGGTACCAAAACAGGAATAGAGGACAAATCTTCTAATAGGGACACAATTGTGCAAGGTATTTTTCTTATTTTGTGTTTATGAGTCAAAAAGTGGCATCTGTGTCCAAGGAGGGGCATTGACAGAAAAAAAGCCTGCCAGGGGTCCTACTATATCCCAAAAAAATAAAAACATTGTGGGTTTAGATAAGCTTTAAATGAAGCCTGGGAAAGTCACACTCAGCATTTTAATGGTTCATAATTAGGGGTTGTCCTCCAAAAAATGCTAAGATTCCCAAAAAGATGCATATTTCAACTTTTTGTACCAGCATGGCACTGCCCATTCCCAAACACTTATGTTGGTGAACATGGTCTCTTGTAACATTATTGGACAAATATGGATATTTCAGAGGTGTGTGTGCAACAAAACCTGTTACAGGAAAAGTGAAAGAACTCAGAACTTTAAAAAAAAAAACAACTTACCCTTGCAGTGGGGCTACCCCCGTACTACAAGTGTTAAGTGCTTGTTTTGTCTATGGGGGGCTCACGTAAAGAAGATATACTCACCTGATACTCAGTCCCACGGCAGTAAGTGCTCACTTCTTTCTCCCTCTGCTGGCCCTCAGCATCCTCATGTCTAACGCAAGTCAATGGATCTACATCAGACGTGATAAGTCCTTAGACCACCAGGGCGCCAGGGGGGAGAAGAGGCTTCGGAGACCAATTTAGCCGCCTGATGGGACCTTTATTGCTTTGCTTTTTTTGAGCCCCTGCAAGCGCTTCCTATGTTCAGTCATGATGATTTTGCTCATCATGGGAAGCTTTAGTAGGGGGTGGTATCCTCTAAGCTGCCATCTTTTCTTCTGTATCATGTTGCAGGTCCCTGTACCAGGTAGGTGGGTCCTGGTTGGTTACAGCTAATAAGGATAATGCAGGTCACACATTCTCAAATAACTACAGCTTATCATACGATTTGATTGTGCAATCTCCTTTAGATCTACCAGTAACAATGAGGCAAAGGGACAGTATATTTGAATACAAACTAGAATAGACTATTTAAGAAGGTCCTCATGATTTTGACAAAAGGTTGTACTATTTGATTGTGATATGTGCTGTATAGTCATTACCATCTCCTAGTTCTGCAAAAGTATCATGCAAGCAAGGTGGCTTGAAGCCTAATCTGCAACAATGATAGCTGCCATTGCCAACTTAGTTTTTGAAGGTACAGTCTCCAGGTCTGTCACCCATGTCCTGGCATCACTATCTTGCAAGTTACTGTGTTGACAAAAGCTTGCAACCACCAAAGTCTGAAAATATGGATCACCAGGTCTATGACTGATCACACACCTGTCAGAAAACAATCATGGATCCGCCCCCCTTAAAACTGATATCATCAATATCAGCTTGCACATTTTATTCTTCCCTTTCAGCCCTAATCACCTTTAAAGCACCCTCTGCACTTTTTACAAAAACATCTGTATTCAGTTAACAAGGTTCCTCGTTTTTATTTTAACAGGGACACAAAATTATATGAGCTTGTTGGACATCCCATTCCAAAGTCATGGCCATTACTATGAAGTTGCCCCGCTATAACAACTATAACAACCTCCACTCTATTGGAAGGCTTTCCAGAAGATTCCAGAGGGTGTCTGTGGGAATTTGTGCCTATCTGGCAAAAAACCTTAAGGATTTAGAGAAGACCTGTAAAGAAGAGTGGACCAAAATCCCTCCTGAGATGTGTGCACACCTGGTAACCAACTACAAGAAACGTCTTACCTCTCTGCTTGCCAACAAGGGTTTTGTTTGGGGATCACTGAACTGCAACTCAATTTATAACATTTATATCATGTGAGGGATAGGTCTATAATTTTGCCACTTTACACATCAATGGTTCGGCCCCACCTGGAGTACGCGGTGCAATAGTAAAAAGTACATAAATAGTAAAAAGGGGAGAAAGGAACAGATAGGCCCAATAAAGGACATAAATGGGTCGCTACTCACAAGCGACAGGGAGAGGGCCGAGGCGCTAAATACTTTGGTCGGTATTCACCAAGGAAACAGACGGGTTTAATGTACAAGATAAAACACAATTTAACAGGAAATACACCGGAATGGTTGACTGAATCGGGGATACAACATAGGCTTAAATTACTAAATGCAAATAAAGCATTAGGACCTGATAATCTACACTCCAAGGTACTCAAAGAATTGAACAAGGAGATAACAAGACCATTGTTCCTCATTTTTAAGGAACCCGTAATGGCTAGTGCCAGGAGATTGGCGAAAGGCTAATGTGGTACCTATATTCAAAAAAGGGTCAAAATGCCAACCGGAGAACTATAGACCAGTTAGTCTAACATGCATAACAGCTCTGTAACAAAGAGGGCACAAGCTAAAATTTGTGGGAAAAAAATTTCACCACACAGGGCGCAAGGGGTTCTTCACAGTTAGAGTGGTTAAGGTTTGGAACTCGCTGCCACAGGAAGTGATTTCAGCTAAGAGTGTGGAATCATTCAAGAGACTCCTGGACGAGTTCCTGGGAGAGCATAACATACAGGGGTACAGGTATAGCTAAGAGAAAAATCACACATGGACTCGTACACATGCACACATCAGCTCATAAATGCATACACACAATAGGTTGGACTCGTGTCTTTATTCAACCTCAAATACTATGTAACTATGTAACTATGTTTTGGGCACCGGTACACAGAAAGGATGTCCTTGAACTGGAGAGAGTCCAGCGGGGGGGCGACCAAACTCATCAAGGGGATGGAGGACCAGAACTATGAGACAAGGCTACTAAATTTAAACAGGTTTACGTTGGAAGGAGATTAAGGGGGGACATGATTTTCATGTACAAAATGTTCAATAGTCATAGCAACATTAGCAACAAACTCTTTAAGATTAATTCCGTAACAAAGACTAGAGGCCACCACCTAAAACTGGTAGAAAAAAAATTCAAACGCAAGGGGCGACGGGGGTTCTTCTGAGTTCGCACGGTTAAGGTCTGGAACTCGCTGCCTCAAGCAGTGATTTCCGCGAATAGTCTGGAATCATTCAAGAAGCTTTTGAACGACTTCCTGAGAGACCGTAATGTACAAGGGTACAGGTACTCTTAAGAATGAGAACACTCATTGACCTATACGCACACACACAATAGGTTGGACTTGATGGACTTATGTCTTTATTCAACCTCAAATACTATGTAACTATGTGTTTTTCTGGATTTTTGCTTGATATTCTGGTGTCTGCTGTCTCTATCATTTAAAACACACCAATGATAAAAAATATAGACCTTTAATTTCTTAAAATTATTTTCCTCACTGTATTTTCCTTTACTTCCCTCCTCATCAACATGCTAATAAAATTTAATAAAACCTTTCCATTCTCATTACATACCTTATGTTAGGCCGATGCGACCATCACTGCCTTGGTACTCATCTTAAAAGCCCTTAAATCTGTTGCAAACAGAGGGCTGGCTCTTGGGAGGAGTTATGCAAATATCAAAATGGTTTAATGGGTGGATGTCACTCTAGAGGAGTGGGTGTTCCTAAGCAGGCTGAACCTACATGCAAACTGCCATAGGTAACGCCATTATGTGATGTTGAGCCTTCATGATTAAAAGAACTGAAATCCAATAAATGGTAGGGGGCGGGCCAGGGACAACAAGGAGGCAAAGGCTAGATGTTGGATGTCCTCCAGCAAGGAAATGAGGCAGGCTCTGACTTGCTGCAGCTTCTTATGCACATTGTGAGAAGCTTACAGTGTGCAGTGAAATCAGAGGAAGCCATTTCAGTCCATGAGAGGAGACGGTACAACTGTGCAAGGCGGAAGGCAAGGCAAGAGATTAGCTTTAACAGTAACTTCACTGGAAACTCCTGAACTCCATCTTTTGCAGGGATATCTGCATACGTTTGGCCATATAATGTAGGCATCCACAAACATTTACTCATATGGCATGCCTGTGTATTGCTCCTTCTTTCTTGTCGACACTCTTGATCCTTAGTGAGCAGCTGCGAATATTCTGTGTAAAAATCCATTTTACTTTCAGAAGTCATAGGTATAGAGCCTTTCCTGATTGGCTTGAATTCTTTTTTTTCTTTATTTTATTATCTGATAATTAAAAGAGATCTATGGGGTAACCTTTTTATCCCATAGTTCTCTTCAGGGTCCCGGGAGGACTTACTAATCTCCTCCCGTGACCCAAAAGCTAATTATATAGCAGGCCATTGCCCGCTATATACTGAGAGCGCCACAGCTGGGACAGATCCCGACCATACTGTTGAGATCTACCCAGCTGGCTGATTGACAGCGGGCTCTGCTTATCTAGAGGCACAGCCAGCTATGCCCACCCCCTCCCGTCCGTCCTTCCAGTCAGCTCTAGAGGATCGGAGAGGGGAAGGCGGAATCCTTGCGGGGAGCAGTGATTGACGGTCAACGCTCTCTGCAGGATGATCGGGAAGCGAGCGACGGTACGTGTTCACTCACTACCCAATCTATAGAGTCGACGTGTGACAGTTTCAATGGCTCTAAAAATGAGGATGAGTGTAAATCACTCACCTCACAGTTCTCCTTTAATCATTATAGGATAGCAGGGTGAGCTGCCAGCCAATAGAAAAAGAAAACAAATAATTCCCGTTAAACAGGTAAGGAGAGATGATGTCATTGTATCCAGACAGAGATGGTTTTGACATGGAGTCACATCTGCTGTCTAGGCGTTGCTGGAGATCTGTGAAAGGGAAGCGAGTGCAATGAAGAGCCTCTATTCAAAGGTACATACAGTAGATGGGCATGGGTCTCTTTAAGTGCTGCTTCTATCTTGCAAGATACAAATTCAAACAAGGACGCATCATTCGAGGAACTTTTATTTCAAAACGTTTTTTTAAACCTTTCCGTATAGCATCTGAATTAAGTGAAATCTGTTAACAATCTTGAAATATTCTTGATACATAACAAAATATATCTTCTCTCTGTACATAAGTCAATATAAACAATTTTAACATTATCGATTTTGTGAATTCCCCTTTCTGGAAGCCACAGTTAACACAACGGTGCTCTAGTACAACCTCTCAAGTGCAATTTTGCTTTGGGCTTTGCCTTGTTCTTTAGGGAATGCCAGAGATATCTAGGCAACTTTGTGAACCGGGTCCCGCATTTGCATAGGAACTGCGATACCAATGGATGAACCCAGCTATGGGCTTGGAGCTGGCGATAACCGCGCAGCGACTTGCTGCACACTTCACAGATGAAGGCAGTGTCACTCAGATGTTGCAGCTGGTGAAGCAGGAAGTGTAGTGAACCAATTGGTGTTCGGCTGCAATCACACTGGTGCTTCTTTAAAGTGCATGTCTTGCCAAAGCCTTTAAGTCGATGCTGCTTCAGTCGCCAGAACTGATAGAAGCGGACGCCGCAATCGCGACATCTGTGGGGAGGTTTAGGCCTGCTTAAACACTTTGCTGCTAACTTGGATGGCAAGATTTGGAGAGAGTATGCTTTTCTTGCTGGTTCTGACTGCATTGCAGGGATCGGTTTCTCTGCTGGTTCCAACTGCATTCCAGGGATCCATTTCTCCGCTGGTTCCAATTGCATTGCAGGAATCCGTTTCTCTGCTGGTTCCAACTGCATTCCAGAATTCCGTTTCTCTGCTGGTTCCAACTGCGTTACAGAGACGTGTTCCTCTGCAGGTGTTAGCCAAGTTAGAGAGACCTCTTTCTCTGCTGGTTCCAACTGCATTAGAGAGACCTGTTCCTCTGCAGGTTCCAACTGCATTAGAAGGATCCGTTTCTCTGCTGGTTCCAACTGCGTTACAGAGACTTGTTCCTCTGCAGGTTCCAACTGCGTTCCAGCGATCTGTTCCTCTGCAGGTTCCAACTGCGTTCCAGCGACCTGTTTCTCTTCTGGTTCCAATTTTATTTCAGAGACTTGAGCGTCATCCTTAACTACATTTTCTTCGCTCCCATAATCCTCTGCTTTTCGAAACACAAGGCCCGCCTTGCTTAACAGAATCTCATGTACCTCTTCTGTCCCTACTACAAGCTCAAGAACAGATTCCAGAACCTCCGGCATTGGTTGCTGGTTAGTTTCCAACTGCATAGGTAGAAGAGAAAAACTCGGTCCATCAATCTTTTTGGCACCTTGCTCACATGAAGAAAGGTTGTGTTGTTCATCCAAGCTTAGTTGTCCAACTAGCCTGCAGTAACCTTGAACATTATCGTCGTCAAGACAGGTATCAGACACTCCCTTGTTGAGGTCTGCATCAAAAATCACGTTGTCATGATCCAACGTGTCCTTGGTGTCACCTACATCTGAGTGTTCTTCATCCACAAGGACTGTTTGGCCTCCAGCTTTAACTCCCTTTAGGAGCTCCTGTTCTTTCAAATGCCAACGACTATGATTAACATAGGCACAGTGCCTGTTGAAGACTCTTCCACAACGCTGGCAAGTAAACGTTTCCACAGGACTAGTACATGCTCCGTCACCATTTTGTTTTTTGATAGGCAACACTGAAACCTGTCCTGTTTCTTGTTTCGCCTCTTGAGTTGGAATTACAGTCACAGGATCTTTTTTTTTCACATGCCAGTAGATGTGAGTGGCATAGGAACAGCGCCTATCAAATACTTTACCACAATACTCGCAGATGAACGTTTGAGTTGGTTTGACACAGCTCACTTTTTTAAGGCCTATAGTGGGTGTACCAACATGGTGGCCAGTCCCATGAGACTCCTGGCCTTCTAGTGATGGCTCCACACATGGATTCACCGTGGACGGCATAAATTTTTTCTTATGCCAGTGCATGTGGTTGGTAATTGAACAACGTGTATTGTAAACTTTACCACAATCCTGACATTTGTAAATTTTTGTAGCTTCGGGAGAGGTATTGGTGGCGTCAACTGGGTTCTCTTCACTGGCCTGGAAAGACAAATGTTGATTTAAATGAGCCCATTCCCTATTTATTTGATCTAACTGGGGATGAATGATGCTTTCCATTTGATTTGCAGAGTCTTTTCCTTGGTTTTCGTCAAGGAATATTGGACTATAATTGGAAAGATCAACAACAATGGTATTTCCAAGGACATTCAAGTTTTGTAGCGCAAAACTCTTAGCGTTATCAACGCAGGAATTTTGAAACTCTTGACTGCATATGCTTCTTGATTCACACTCATTATGGTCACAGGGAACAGTGCATTTGCTTGCTGGAATGACTCTTCCTAATCCTGAGTGTGGCTCCTGAATCCCCGTTTGAATTTCTGACAAACTGGGCTGAGTACTCACAACCTCTTTCTTGTATTGTCCTTGCAAGGTCTGGAGCTCTTTCTGGGCTTCAGCACACATCTTCTCTAATCTATTCATCGTCTCTACGTTATTGCTACTTTGCTGAGGGCACCCAACAGCCATCTCAATGCAAATGTGGTGCTCCAGATTGTACAAACGCCCAAACTGGCGCCCGCACCGCTGGCATTTGTAGCTTCTCCCCAAGGGATTGAATGACCTGTTACGCTGAGGTCTGGCATCCGAATAACTGAACTTGCCCAAGTTCAGCTTTGACTCTTCTTCATAGGACAAAGTAGTGGTTTCCATGCATACATCTTTGGCGTAAGGTTGTAGTTGACCAAAGTCTGAGATGACCTCAGTGCAAGAGAAGAGTGGTTCTTCTAAATAAGGTGCTAGCTGGGAAGGCTGTTCTTGAAGGTCTTTGCTGTTTGCGTTGTTCAAAACAAGAGAATTGTCTTCTCTCTGCTCTCCATTTATATAGAAGAGACCTGGTTGTACATTTCCTGCTGTGGATAATACATATATACTCTTTTCCATATGATCATTTTCCATAACCTGGCTCTTGAGGTTAGTAACATGACTAGTCATTTCCAGAGTCTTGACCTCTGATGGTGTGAAATTCACATATTCTTGGTCTAGGCTCTCATCACTGCTTGAGTCATCAAAGTGATGGAGGTGTTGCCACAGAGGCAAGTCCCGTTTATTCTCCTGGGGGAAAGACAAGAGCTGTCAGTGCCAAAATCAAAAGTACAGTATGTTTGTTAAACATGCAAAACCAATGCAAGTTGCTGAAAATAATATATTTCATAATAAATATTTATTAGGGATGCCCCAATACCAGTGTTCCGTTATCGAGAACGAGTGCCAATATTTATATTTCAGTATTTCCAGATACTGAGTAACGATACTCAGTACCATGGAGCCGGTAGCATGGAGCCCACTTCCCAGGCAATCAGAAAGCCGAGCAGCGTGTCATTACCCGTTGCCCAGCTTCCTGATTGGCTGGGAAGTTGGCTCCATGTTCCCTGGCGGCAGTGCCGGTCAGAAGAATTCTCCCTCTGAGCGGAAGTTCCTGTATCGGGGGTAAGTATCAGAGTATTTGGGCAAGTACTCTTACTCGCCCAAATACTCAGTATCGGTGCATCATATATATATTATACTTGTCATTAGGGATTGCACCGATACCAAGTAACGTACTCGGTACAAGTACAGATACTTTGAGCTCCAAGACTAGACTAGAGAAAAATTAAAACGTTAGGAGGCAGCTATCATTTGTAGGGAGCACACGGAGCTCCTGGGATTTGTATATCTGTTTTATTGTATGATTTGTTTTTATAAATATAAATAATGGGATGCACCGATACCAGTTTTTCAAGTACAAGTACTGAAATTTTTTTGTTTATTGTCATGCATCGACTAATGAATTCAGGACAGTGGTGGAGCGCCAGAGTCAGGTCCCAGCTGCAACCGCTGCAACCCTGGTAGTTCTCATGAAAATGCCAAGTATCGGCACTGGTATCTGAACTGGTATCGGTGCATCCCTACTTGTCATTTATTATATGTCCAAAAGTTTGTGGAAACCTGACCAACACGCCTACCTATATGGTCCAACCTATTGAGTCTAGGTGTTTCCAGAGAGAGGTACGGTGAGTGTTACAATAAACAAAGACATTTCAGACAATTATGTGTTTCCAAATTTGTGGCAACAGTTTGGGGAAGGCCCTTTTCTGTTCAGCATTACTGTGCCCAAAGCCAGCCCCATAAGGATATGGTTTGAGCAGTTTGGTGTGAAGGAACTCAAGTGGCCTACACAAAGCTCTCAACTCAATCCCACTGATCACCTTTCAGATGAATTGGAATTCCAATTCCAAGTCTACATCAGTACCTGATCTCACAATTACTCTTTTGGCTGAATGGGTACAAATTCCCACAGACACACTCCAAAATCTTGCCGATAGCCTTCCCAGAAGAGAGGAGGCTGGTGAGTCAAGAAAAGGGTGCCAACGCCATATTAATACACATAGCTTTGGAATGGGATGTCCAACAACCTAGGCGTGACAGTCGGGTGCCGACAAACTTTTGTCCATATAGCATGCTTGGTTATTTCTTATCAGTACTAAGCTTCCTGGAAAGGAATTCCCCAAACACCGGTGCTTCTGCATCGTCATCCTCAGACACAGGCTTTCAAAGTGGCCGACTTAACAGTCATTATTCATCCATGGTCCACTGTTGTCCCAATCAGGAAACCTGTCCTGAGAAATGGCATGCAGCCGTCACTGGAGTGCATGTAGGCAGGAAGTGGTGTCTAGAAATAGGCTGCGGGAGGACAGCAACATTAAGATGCAACAAAGTATGGAAAATGGTGAAAACAAGTATTTTATTTAAACACAGTGCTTCAACATAAAACAAATGGCATTCATTTGGGGGTTACATCTCCTTTAAAGGAAATAATAATACACTTTGAAAGCAGAACAAGTGGCTATACCTACCAACTTTATTGGAGTGAGATCTTCTACAGCTAAGGTGCCATCATTGAGTTCCACTTCAGCCCCAACCTCTATGCCAAGATATGTATCCATGCTAAGAAGCTACCTGGTCACTGTACCCTGTCAGGAGAAACAAACCAAATCAGAGATCAATGTGATGAAAGTTCTTCCAATTTAATCACGCATTAGCTTCTAATCTCTAGAGGCCTTCAGGGGGTCCAACTAGATTTTCGATGCTGCTGTTCGATGTTATTTATTGTAACTCCATAAGAAATAGACACTCAGATGTGTTTATACAGCCAGCACATCTTTTTTTGCAGCAGGATGTCAGCAGATAGGGTTGCTCAGAGAGACATGTTCTTGTCTTATGATGAGTCTATCACACTCCTCTGATGAAGTCTCAGTAATATAGAATGAGCACACAACTATGGCATCCAACTGCCAGACAGTGATTTGGCCCAAGACTGAAAGGATGGCTGGAGATCAGCTATATGTGTACCTACATTCTACACTAATTCTAATCAATTCTACAAGCCCCCCCCCCTGTGGCTGCCACCTTGATCAGTCTAACAGTAAAAGCTGGGCATCCTGCCATCAGCTCCAGGCTTTCCGCAACTGTAGACACTCATGCCCAGGCAGAAATCACATTGGCCAAACTAATCAGTAGCACAGCCTAAACAGAGATCCTGTCCTTTTGGTCACTTTGGCTGTGCCCTCACATCGGCAGCTGACGCTTGGCGACATCGGTAGTCATGCATTAGACAGCTTGCTCTATATAAGTAGAAGCAAATCTGCTTCAACCCTTTTTTGACCAGAGATCGATGACGGTTAGGATACCCAGATCAAATCTAGCAGCATCAACACGTGTCAGAAAACTTGGCTAATTCTATGACTGGTCTGAGAGCTAGGAATGTACACAGATGTTGTTCTTTTCTAGTTTTCTGCTGCACTTGTGCAGTCCCTTGCAGCAACTCAACATGCACTGCGTCAGTACAGCACACCACAACGGATTGCGATACGCTGCCCTGTCTTGCCCATGATTGCATTGGGGTGCATTGCGTCAGTACACCACAATGCATTGTGATGCGCTGCCCTGCCTTGCCCATGATTGCATAGTGCATTGGGGTGCATTGCCTCAGTACAGCACACCACAACGGATTGTGATACGCTGCCCTGTCTTGCCTATGATTGCATAGTGCATTGGGGTGCATTGCGTCAATACAGCACACCACAATGCACTGTGATGCACTGCCCTGCCTTGCCCATGATTGCATAGTGCATTGGGGTGCACTGCGTCAATACAGCATACCACAATGCACTGTGATACGCTGCCCTGCCTTGTCCATGATTGCATAGTGCATTGGGGTGCACTGCGTCAACACAGCACACCGCAATGCATTATGATGTCTTGCCAACGTTTGCATAGTGCATTGGGGTGCACTGCGTCAATACAGCACACCGCAATGCATTGTGATGCACTGCCCTGCCTTGCCCGTGATAACATAGTACACTGGAGTGCCATTTGCAATAAATGGCACTGCGGCACACTGCACTGTGGTATGCTTACTTTGCAGTTAAACCCGTGTGTCTTACAACACGTTACCTCAGCCCCTCGGTGTGAATAGACCCTACTGAACGCGCTCACAGCATAGGCCATAAGGACTTAAGATGTATTGTAATTAGAGTCAATATGGGCAGTTAGACAGTATGGAGGTACTGATGCCAAGAAGCACACGTAGTGAGTGTTCTAGGAACAGGAGGTGAGGCTACATGTAAGAGGGGCATGAAAGGAAGAGGGTGAAGCAAAGGGATCATGGGTGGTGGGGGGGTCATAGCTAGTGACCCTGATAAGTTATAGAGGATAATACACTAGCAGAGTACTTGGTAAGGATATAACAAGCCATCGGGGACTCCTGTGATCATAAAAACAACAAGGCTGCAGATATCGGGTTCAGTTATAAAAAAAACAAGGCCATTCAAAGGGCACTAGCGCGCCTAGATGACGCTGATGAGTAAAGGAACTTCTTACACTCCTCAGCGCCATCTAGGGGAGCTAGTGCCCTGCAAACGGCACCAGAAGTTTTATAGCCGAACCGCAAAATCGGCAACCTTGGTTATTTTATATAGTCAACCCCTGAACTCATAATAGGACCTTCAATCTCTCTCTGTCACCCCTGTAGCGGGTGAGATATCCGCCATAAACTCAACTTACCTTTTCTACTGATTATTCAGAGAAGCTGAAGTGTAGTCATTCCTAAGCGTGACATCTGAAAGACACCAAAATATATACATTAGAAGCGCTCATGCACGCTGTTGTATTATAACACTCCCATCTACGCTGGATCTTTATTCCAGAAGCTAGCCAAAAAATCCAGGGTTCAAAAAGTGTGCTTTGGTGCGTAATTATTCGCGTTTATGCGTAAACTCATTCTATTGGCTGGAATATCCATTTATTGTAGGCACTAGAATTAATTTACATGCCTGTAAGCTCCTCCCCGAGCGCGGGGTTTTTTTTTTAAGTGGAATTCCAATATTTAGAAACAAACCCCTCCACTGCAAGGGTTAAGTGCTGGTTTTGGTCCAGGGGGAGAAAATAAAGAAGATCTACTGACCCGTTCCTTGGTCCCGCCTGGCTAGACCAGCCTCTTCTCCCCCGGGCTCCAGCGGCCTAAGGACCTGTGACATCATCATGCCTAATACAGGTCCTGAGGCCGCAGGACTGAGGATCAGGTGACTATATCGTCTTTATTATCACCCTAACCGTCCCCTCCGCTCATCTATTGACCTCCTGCTTTCCAGCTCCCTTGTCCACTCCTCCCATACTCGCCTCCAGGACTTCTCTAGAGTCTCTCCCATCCTCTGGAACTCTTTACCCCAACCTGTCCGTCTATCTCCCACCTTGACTGCCTTTAGGCGTTCCCTAAAGACTCATCTCTTCAGGGAAGCCTATCCCACCTCGACCTAACCACTGAACCTTCACATTCTCAAATAATTCATCCCCACACAGCTACCTCCTTATGTATCATTTCCCCCTCCTCTTTCAGATTGTAAGCCCTCATGGGCAGGGCCCTCCTTACCATCTTGTCTTGAATTGTATTGTGATTGTAATGTCTTCCTTATATTGTAAAGCGCTGCGCAAACTGTTGGCGCTATATAAATACTATTTAATAATAATAATATTTTCGCCCCTAGACCAATACGAGCAGTGTAGCCCCTCTGCAAGGGTTCATTTTTCTAAATCCTGGAGGTCTTCTTTAAATGCATACATAAAATGCCCACAAAACGCATCCTACATTGAAACTCATTCTATTGGCTGGAATATCCATTTATTGTAGCCACTAGAATGAATTTACATGCCTGTAAGCTCCTCCTCTAACGCAGGTTTGGCCACTTTTTTTTTTTATTAAGGCGGAACTCTAGTATTTTCGAAAATGAACCCTTGCAGTGGGGCTACCCCCACGCCGCAAAGGTCAAGTGCTCGGACCCGTGACATCATCATGCCTAATACAGGTCTATTAAACGTGAAGATGCTTAGGGACATACCACTGCTGGAGAGGTGAGCGGTCACTGCCGCAGGACTGAGGATCAGGTGACTATATCGTCTTTATTTTCGCCCCAAGACCAAAATGAGCAGTGTAGCCTCTCAAGGGTTAATTTTTTTAAATCCTGGAGGTCTTTTTTAAATGCATACATAACATGCACACAAAACGCATCCTACATTGACTTACATTCTAAATCAAGGCGTTATAATACATTAAAAGCGTACAATACGCTATGAGGAAGATGCATGTGCATTTGTAAAGCGATGGTGTGAGCAGGCCCCTTACCCCGTCAATTAGAAAAAGAAAAGAAAGCAAGGAATCACGGCCCCTGTATTGTTATATTACCAAGATGGAGGCCAAGGTGCATGCTGGGACTTGTGTTACTGCAACGTATAGAGACCGCGGGTGGTCTGCCTCCTAGGGATGTACTGAAAGCCTGACCCGGAGTAGACAGGACTTGTTTTAAAAAAAGGAGAAGCCACAGATGGGGAGTACTATGCATGCTATTCAAGGCTGCAAATCCCCAACATCTCTGCCTGTGCACACTGAGACTTGTAGTTCTACATAAGCAGAAGCCACAGATTGTAACATAGCACATGTGCACAATGGTTTCATGCAATCCATTACCAGTCCTGTCTGACATGCACAGTGGGACTTGTAGTTCTACATAAGCAGACCCCCAGACTGAGTGATCACAGCAATGAGATTTGTAGGGGCAGAACCTGGACTGTCCCTGGAAATTCAGAGTTAGGACTTACCGGTAACTCTATTTCCATTAGTCTTCCAGGACAGCATCACGAGATGGAATCTCCTCCCCCACACACAGGAAACACGTCACTTAATCTGTTTAAAAGACCCTCCTCTCCTCCACTCCCTCAGTCATCACGAGAACCGAAGGCAAGCTGGAAAAAGACAAGGCACAAACAGGCAATACCACTACATCACATTAACACTACAAGCATCAATGGGCGGGCAGTTGCTGTCCTGGAAGACTAATAGTTTTACATCTGGGGAAGGTAATGAGCATGCTTCTTACTCCTCTTCTATGCTGGATTACAATGGCGTATGCTAGGCGGCAAGTCAGTGACCACACCAGCACAGGTACACCCCAAAACTGTCCTTCCAGCACAGGTACACCCCAAGACTGTCCCTCCAGCACAGGTACACCCCAAGACTGTCCCTCCAGCACAGGTACACCCCAAGACTGTCCCTCCAGCACAGGTACACCCCAAGACTGTCCCTCCAGCACAGGTACACCCTGAAAAGCAATCCTGCAGCACAGGTACACCCATAAACCATTCCACCAGCACCGGTAAACCCCAAGACTACTCCTCGGCACAGGCAGGGCTGGATTAACATAGGGGCTATTGGAGCTTAAGCACCTGGCTAGAGCTGCAGCTAACGATTATTTTCAAAATCGATTAGTTAGCCGATTATTAAGTTCGATTAATCGGTTAATCGGATACTGGCACACCACTGAAAATAGGCGCGGCCGGCCTGGATTGCTTCGGTATGCTTGATGGCAATCCAGGTCAGCCGGGCTGCACACAATCAGGCAGAGCTGCCTCTGCTG